TTGGCCGGTGCGCTGTCGGGGGCAAACGTCAGCGTAGATCCATAATGTAGAACAACGAATTTGAGTTTCGTCAAAATTTAAACTCTTAAAGCGTGTAAAACACAAACGGACGTACTATTTTTTTTTATTTTTTTTTATATGTATTCGAAATATACCGAGGAATTTATTGGTTTTTACTGTTTTTTTTTTCTGTCTATAAACAAATTTTCGAAAAGAAATGGTTTACATTTTTTTTTTTACCTCGGGGCCAATCTGTTAAGGAGATCTTGCATATTGGGGGGGTATAAAAGCCCTCTCATCGGCTTACAAATCGTGATAATTATTGCACTCCCGTGAGTTACTGCCTGTAAGGGCCAATTTTGATCGCGAGTATAAATAGCCAACGCAGATTAGGTTTATGTAGCGCATAAGTAATAACCACTTTATTATGCATAACGTCCGTGGAAAGGTATATACTATACACATTATACATATATGGGAACCTGGTGAAATTATACAGTTTTTGGAAGAAAAAAAATCCTAATCGCAGAAGTAAAAAAAAAACGAACATATAATATTTAAGACGAAACGGTTTTGAGTTTCATAGATTTCACGGATACTATAAACATTATAATATTGTATAGCGTCGGGGTCGACTCGGAAGATAACGAGAGAATAATATTATGCGCCGTAGTTGGTCATTCTAATTTTTTTTCTAAATCTCGATCGCGATAATACGACTGAAAATACCATTTTCAACGGACGCTAAACATGTACACCTACCTACCTACCTATCTACTGTATAATAATAATAAGCGCATGCGTGTCGAGCATTAGTCTCGTAACGATTATAGAAAAAAAACCGCCGGTCGCGTGCAGATAACACTATACGGCTTATACTTACCTAATGTTATTATTAAAATATTTATAATGGGGCGAGTTTGTGTGATGCTGTGACGCCGAGCTCGGTCACTTATGTTACATTAGTGTGTGTGTGTGTGTGTGTGATCTAATCTGATAAATACAATTTTTAAAAAAAAATGTTACGTGCAGTAGGTACGCCGTACGCGTGTTACTGATTACACGGATCTGCATTAATTCTAGACGTGCGTTGCGTTAAGTGTAGCGTTCGACGTTCAGTACAATTATTTTAAAAACGGACGCCGGTCGCCTTGCGTCTGAGAAAATCGGAAGGCTTTATCGATTATTGGTTCAATGGTCTGTAATATATTAAACGGAGAAATCAGAGATGGATGTATAATAAAAAAACACGCAAGCGCACACGAGGAAAAAAAATACACGAGCGGCCGAGCTCCGTCGCTAAAAAATTTGAATTTTCTGCAGGGACCGTAGTTCAGATTCAGATCCGGTATTTCTTGCGAAGGTGTGAAATTTGTGCGTAAAAACGGAGGGAGCAGAGGTCGGGGGTTGGAGCCCCCGGAAGGTACTATTCCGTGTCTGCACAAAAACAATTCATATTCAAAATACCACACCCCCTCCCTTCATTGGGGACGAACAAAGCTTAAAAAACACTATCCTTGCGCAACAACGTACTAAAATGTATCGTATTCAAATTCCATTTAAATCCGTCCGTAAAACAACTCTGATTCGCGAGTTTGAGTTCATTTGTTCCAGAGGGAGCCACAATAAAAGTGTCCATAAGTACCGGGAAAAAGATAACGTATTAGAGAATACGAATAGAGTGGCAGCCGAATTCAGACAGGGTTATTTTAATTTATCCATACCATAGGAAAACCCCGTCCCCAATAATATAAAAAACAAATTATTCTCGCTACGCTCGGTTTATGTTCTTTTTTTAAAGCCCCCAAAACTACGTGAAATGTTTTCAATTGTAATATTTATTGAATTTTGTTGAATATGATAAAAAGAGCTTATACTGTTGATGAGTATGTCACTGTTGTAGATGAAAGAAGGCAGGGCGTAGAGTAATTATACTTATAACTGTACACTACGATAAACCATTGCCTTTTCCAAAAATGTTTGTAAATGCTGTGATTTTTACGATTTCAATCAACAGTAGAACCTCGATATCCGAACTAATTGGAAACATGCCTAGGTCGGACAAGTGAAAGTTCGGATACTGGACATTTTTAATAAAAATTTAAAAAGCTCACGGAAAAGCGCTCAAGTCATGATGTAGAATGTAAAATGTCGTCCGTTGATATTACGTGTACAAAAATAATACAGTGTCTATTGGTACGTTGGGTGTGTCGTTTAAATAAACGCATATCGTTTACTATATTATGGGTACATATTATTGTACAGGGTACCTAATGTAATAATTTACTGTTTGAGAGAAAAATGATAAAATCGGAATACGCATCGCGATAACGTTCAGATAACATAGAGAGTTCGTATAACGGGGGTTCGGATAATCGAGGTTCCGCTATATACGTACAAAATACCCTATATAAGTAAACTGTCGATATTTCTAAACGTATTGTGTCAATACTATTGACCGCGTATGACCGGCGGACATCGGTTTTCTATCCAAGAAATGCGCGTACACTGAACAGTACAATTTGAAAAAAAAAAAAAAGCTGCCTCGGGATAATGGGGACGGGTGTAGCCACTGTTGTCGGTGAAAAGTTGAAAAGGAAGTAGTAGAGAAATTTAATGTATACCTGTACAATATATGTGCAATGTTATGGTAACATATTATTACGTATGCATTATTTTCTTTAATAAAATTTGTTTAATGTTGTACCTATATTTTTCCGTTTTCCCTACGGTTTTTACAGGTTTTTCTCGTTCTTTTCTCGGTTTTTCTTATTTATCACGCAAACAGCTGGGGAAATTAAGAAATAACCTCCTTAAAGTACCACTCAGGTAAGATTTCTTTTAAAAACAACTACTACACTTGTAACGTGCGTTCTCGATAATATTATTCATACAGGACCCATATAATTATAATACGTAATAATTTCAATAGGTGAAAACGCGGGTATATTCACTTCTACAATATATTGACGTTCGATAAAAAAAAAAATAAAAATATTTTCCGCCGGAATTCCTACTCCCCCCCTACCCATGCTCCACCCCTCCAGCTCCGTCACGTGCCACCGGACGTCCCGAGCAACGCGATAATATTTAATACCCGGCTCTAATACATATGTATAAGAATAAACGGCCGTTATTTATCGTAAAACGTTCGTACAAAATTATACGATATTACCGTACGGATAAATACGAGCGCGCGCGCGCGCTCGCGCCCGCGGAACGTGCGAAACGGGAAAATAAATCACCGCCGCGCCGCGCCGCAGTCGCCTTTTTCTTCTGTTATTTATCGTCCCCGACGTCCGCGAATGAAACGTTCTCGCGCGCCGCGTTATCCGATACGCGCGGCGGCCAGGCTTGTTGACCGCCGCAACATAATGCGTCTTAATAAACGCGCGACGCCGCGACCGGTGGCCGATCGGTTAAATGCGGTGCTTATTCCGTGTTTGCAATAATATTAACGACGATAATAATACGGGCACCCGTATTTATAGGCCGTTGTAAACGCGAGACCGGATTTTCTGTGCATCGCGCGCATAATATTATGTTGTCGTAATCACGTGCTTTCGCCGAATGGCGCGACATTGTGTGCTCCGCCGTTTAATTACTTTTACACGCGGCATAATGAACGCCGGACGACTCTGTTCGAGTTCACGCTGTTATAGCGATGAACTTGCAGAGAAAGAGAGAGAGAGAGAGAGAAACGAGAATACGCGCGCGTCTACGGTGAATACTAAATAGAAGGATTGCACTATAATCTCGCGTCGTTCTGGACAGGGGTGCGTTGATTCGGTCCGGCGAGTATAGGCGAACAAAATGTATACTACAATAACCCGGCGATGTAACAGTTTGGTGCCCGAACTTCGACACACGAGCGTCTAACCCGGCCATTTAATAGTCCACAGACAAAGCGTCCGGCAAGGCGCCAACGTTTTTCATTTAAAAAGTTTAGGCCTCGCGTTATGGGTCCGCGGTTATCGGGGGGAAGGGGAGGGGTGTGGGATCCCCAAAGTATACCCCGCGAACCTGAGAACTCTACTCTTACACTGATCATTTTTTAAACGTCGGACGCTGAATACACATACGATACGAAATCCAAATGACAAATGTGAAACATGTCACATCGCCACTTTGTTCGTTTTATTATTATTCATGTTAAATATCGTGTGGTGAATGATGAATGAACTATGATTATTGCCACCGGTGTACTGGCATTCGGCAGTCATTATTGCAGTCCTCATTGAAAAACATCATTGGAGTCAATGATCGGAATACAGTTTCCAGTGGAAAAGCCGTTCAAAGGCGGGGGAAAAAAATACACCGATTTTTTCGCACCGTGGTGGATGTTCCGCCGTTGTAAACACAAAGCTGGGAGAGTTAAATATAGAATATATTTTAAACAAATGTTAACAGAGGTATTAGCAACGTAAGTAGATCTAATATCAAATAAATTATAATATATTTTCACATTTTTTTTTTTTTTTTCTTGAAAATAATATTCTATGTAGGAGGTAGGTAATATATTTAAAACAATAATTAATAAAAATGTAATCGGATTATAAGAGCCACGCTTGCGGCATAAATTACACATTGTTATAAATATTGTAATTAAAAATTAACGATGGTTGTCCGCGACCGTACATAATTGAATAATCTACAATACAATCAACACGGACAGCGTTCCTAATTATTCGTATTATCGTACGTTAAGAAACACGAATACATTAATAAATGTATTTACACGTGTTTATATAAATATATATATGTATAAAGAAACTGGCTAAAAATTATACGTGTAAAAAAAAAAATAATAATAATATAAATAATACAACTGAATAATTAAATTAAATTATTGATAAAACAGATAATCAATTAGGTATAGACAGGAAAAACGAAAACAACAAAAAAAATAATAACGCAAACAATTTGCGGAGACAATAATAAAAACAAATTCGAATACGAAATAAATACACAAATTAATTGTAATAATTTACTCTTTGGGTCTAAAAACAAAAATCGTTATATTATGTCAGGGTATAATTTATTAAACATATCGAAACTTCGCCACATTATCACAAATACAGTTTTGATTTATTATAATAATAAAGTTAATAATACCGAAGACCTCGGAGCTGCAACAAATGGACAACACTACTTTTTTTGACAATTTCAAGAAAATACAAAAATAAAAAAAAAAAATAAAAAAAATACGGAGTCGTCTATTTGGTTTGGCTTCAAGATCTTCATTCGAATAATATAACGGCATAGTGCGCAAGTGTAATTTTTGGCGAAAATGAGTCCAGTACTCTATAACTAATTGACCATTTGATTTGTTTTATTAATTTACAGACGTTGCGTATTATGCATGTTAAATATTTTATCCGACAGACGGAATTGTTTTTTGAAATGCATATTGATTTATATGAACTTTCATATACAGATACTGAACATTTTTTTTTAAATGTCACTTACCACACTTGTGCACTATGCCATCGAACTATTATGTTCTTTGATAGTAAACCGCGGGATACGTTCGAAACAATTTTACTGGTTTCAAATAATTACCCGATTTCAAACACACAGAGTGACAAAAATTCCTATTATAAATTAAAATTAACATAAAACGACGCGAAGACGGACGTAACGATATAATATAGTTTATTTTGCATTGAATTTACGTAGCACAATACATTTATTATTTTTTCCCGCGGCGTTGAGATATTCTTCGAATTGTTGTTCCGAGGGAAAATAATAATTCAAATACAATTTCACCGTGAACGAGCACGGCGTGACGACGGCAGTGGTGAAAATGTTGTTAAACTTTTCTCTGAAAAACAAGATAAAAATATGCACATAACGAAAATTGTAAAACGAATCACGTTTGAGAATTTTAGACCATAATATACGCGGTAGAAAAACTCACTTGATTTTCAACCATTTTTTGCCGTCAGAAATTTTTTTCTGGCACCTGTTCTCGTACCTTTTGACGATTTCGTCGATGATGTCGGACATCAGATCGAGTTTGCTTTGGATTTTGTTGAACACCTAATACCACCACGGATTAAACCAAATTATTTTTACGTAATTATATTAATTATTATCGTTTTGGTGATTGAAAAAATGAAAAACCAAAAGAGCGACTTACTTCATACAATAGATAGGCCACTGCTGTAAGTGAAAAGTTGGACCGGAATAGAATAAAGGCGTAAAATTTAGTTTTTATATAGGCACTAAATATGATTACAAATCATTGCAATCGACAAATTGTTGAAGTAATGTATTATCGAGCAGAAAATGCACATATTTTAAGGAAGGTATTTTGTAAAAAACAAAAGTATAGCATTTTCACTGGGTAATCGAAAAAGTTTTTCGATAAAATAAAATGGTTCATGAATTCATTGAGAATTTCAAAAAAAAAAAATATTTTCAATTATGTATCTGTATCACTGGACAGAAATTCCACATATTCTAAGGTGTAATGTGTCAAACATTTATTCGGAGTATTTTTCCGAACCGAAAATACCAGTGGGGTAAAACTCCGAATGCCCGTGGCAAAATATCTCACCGTATAGAGAGTGCTAAAGAAATTAGTACTCACTAAACCTCTCCACTCATCAATAAATACTAGTACCAGCCCTGACCAAGTGCACAATCCTAATCGGGGCTCGATTTACACAGTTTGGAACAAAAAAAAAGAAAAAGTTCTGTTTTCATACATCTGTCCGTCCACTCATGTTACTTAATAAACAAAACAATGGGCATCGCCCGTTTTTTATTCAATTATCCGTCCACTGAAAAATAATGCCTTGGGTCTTGAATCGGAGCCCCTTAATATAATGGGCCCGTGGCTCATTGCCCGTTATGTCACCCTATCGGTACACCACTGGAATAAAACCTCGTTTTAGTAAAACCAATAGCTGAATCTTATTCACACAGAATCAAAGAAACTAACAAATGATACGATGTTTACCTGAGTCAAATAACGTTTTATTTCGCCAATGTAGTTTGTATCGTCGTTGTCCAGTAACATGCAATCCAAATCATTGAATATCTTGTTCATATTCACCAGGTATTGCATTGGTTTTAATAGAACGTCTAACACGGTACAGCTGTCATTGCCCACCATGTGTGTGGTCTGGATGTATTCGTATTCTTTGGCCTTGCTGTTTTTCCTGCGGGGAGAATAGACGTCAAGAAAACGATGCCGATTAAAACTGGGCAGTTAACTTATTAAATTATAAATTATAACTATAGTTCAGTTCATTAACATGAAACTTAATAGAAAAACAATTTCCCCTTTCTCACGCCCAAGATTATGAATCGATATTCCCCATTCTATTCCTTCGAGTTTTTATATTAATTAATTAGAAAATCAATGTTTACGTTGGTAAGAACGGGCCTTAGTCATCCGGATAAGAACCGCAGAGTGCAATCATAGAAGGCATGATTGAAGGAAACACCACCGGAAGACCCCGCAACACGTTTGTCGAGAAAAAATAGTAAGCAGGGTACTGGAAGCTGTTGAGCATTGAAACGAATGGCGAAAAATTGAGAAGGGAAGACGCAAACAAACCTATACGCACGGGTCGAGAAAAAAAATCGCTGGAAATGATTTTCTCGCGATCAAAATAACATTCTACACCGACCGCACACTACAGTGTACGTGCAATTTGAATATTATCGTTTTATTACCTCGTTCGGAATCGTATACTCCGTATCTCGTTTATAAAATATCGCCACTTCCGTTATCGGCTATATAATATATTATTATCGAATATTATAATTTATTTTTACGCGACTTGACGGACGTAAATGTTTAGATAGTCCGGATAGTCCGGGTCGGCGACGATGCCAATCATTCGAAAACCCCGAATAAAATGAATAATTCATCTAACTCAGCGTGATAATTTTCGTACGCGTCTATAATAATGCGAGTGCTTACCGAAATCCCGGGATGTACGACGAGACTATCGTACGAAATCTCGTATAATCATCGCGGCGTTTGTAAATTAATGATTTAAATTCGAAATGCCGTTTCGACCCGAGAAAACGTTATACGGGTTATTGTATAGGTGCGCGTTTGGAATAATGCCCACCAAGAAAAAAAAAACTTTGAAAAAACCGTTTGATTTATTTGATTTTTATTACTCGGTACTATTGCGTATGGATAGCGTGTAACGCTGAACTGCCGGTGTTCAAGTTTGTACTTATAACGACGGAATGTTTGGAAAACGCACGTCCCGTCGACGCGCGCGAATAAGAGACACCGTTCGCCCGGGCTACGCTGTTTCGATTCCGGCGATAAAATAGCCGGGCCATTAAATCGAGTTCGAGTTTTGAGATGTAACGCGTGTGCGGTAAAATTTTCGGGAAACATAATATTATAATTAACGAACGGTGCTTACGTGACGCGTGCCAAACATTTCATCACGGCGATCATGTTGTGAGTGTACAATTGATAGTGTTTGTATTGCGTCATGACGTGCACGCGCATCACGCGGAGCAGGTCTTTCATCAGGACATCCGTTTTCCACACCGCCGACATTTCTTGCACGACTTTTTCCGACGAAACGACCACTGCGCACACACATGTCATAACGAAAAGTTTTAGTTACGTCCGACCGTATAACATACCTAAAATACAGTTGGAAATCCGGATTTGCGCAATACGATAATCTGGATTTCCGGATTCCGAAATCGGACATTTTAACACATTTTTTCAAGTGTAAAAATGAAAAAAAAAAATGCACAAAACAGATGTTTAAAAATCGAAAATTCAAATTTCATATTACAAAATTGAAACTGCCGATGTTTGAAATCCGAAATCCGGATTTATATGTCACGTCATTAACTGATATTTTTATTAGCGATATTTTCGAGTCGTACTCGTGTATTCCGGCATAGTCACTTTAAAAAGAAAGATAAAGAAGTATTTGGTCGATAGGTTTTCCTATATCAATTATAATAACAATTTAGTAACAACATATATACCGCCCCATAAAAATTTGTTGTGTAGCGGTCTCTATTCTTGATATTCACATTTTCAATATATGTGTGTGATGTAGTTTTTAAATGAGAAAAAAATAAAAATAGAATTCGTTAAAATGACCATCGTAAACTGCGTTAAAAAATAACAAGAGATAAATTGCATTACACGGGAAAGGATATGGGGGAATTCTTAAAAGTTCGGGAAAAATTTTAATTAAAATATCAAAGCATAGTTCACTGTTTTATGGTGCTGTAACCAGGATTTTTCTTGGGGGGGGGGGACTGATCATTTCTTTTAAACAGAGGTGGTTTAACTAAGGTCTCCCATAAATTTAGCATGCTGATGCCGAGACGATGAATATTTGTATCAAAATCTTCCAGTTTTTAAGTAAAATTCGTAAAACATAGTATTTGGCTTTTCGTATATCCAAAAATGTACATCAAGATTTTTGAAAATTTTACTCTCAAAGAGATAAAATATAGGAAATGAAAGGCTATTCCTAATTTTTCATAAATATATAACTTCTAGGAGTTTTAACTTAAGGCGATTATTTTGGCACCTTTACATAGAAATCAGTGAGGAATACCAATCACCAACCTAATTCAACTCCCCCAAAACTACCATTGACTGAAAAAAAACTAAAACCCCAATTATTATTGTAACGGTTCTACGACGTAATTTACGGCGTATATTCGTAAATAGCGTTTAGTAGTTTTTAATCACCAGCAGGCGATCGGTTAGACACTCACTTTGGACGAGACTCCGGAGCAACGTCTGCCCCAAAACTTTGTCCACGTCCAAGTCACATGTAATCAGGTCCATAATGACGGGTACGCAATCGCTCAACAAGGTCGAGTTGTACATCTCCTTTTGGAATATTTCAAATTTTTTCACGTACACTGCCATTCGACCGCTGGCCATGCGATCTATGAAAGTATCCGTACAAATGGTTTGTTTAGTATTATTATTATGACAATTTGGAAAAATTGTAGTTTTTTTTTTTTTTTGTTGGTTTCGAAATGATGCATGCTCGTCATATTTTGTAAGTATAGATACATCGCGGATACAAGAAAGGAGTGGCTTTGATTTAATTTAATAGTTTGAATTCGAATTTTTTTTAGTATTTTTACGTAAGTAGAACATACCTGTAATTTCGATGTCAAGTTTTCCTAAATTATACGTACACGTCACACACAGCTATAGATTATTTACGTTTTATAATTAGTGCGGTTCGAGGAAACGCAACCACCATTTTTAAAGGAGAAGCGAGGTCAAGACGTAAAGAGATTAAATAAATAATTTTTTATTACAAAGGTGCTGTACTTGTATACAGGTGGTCAAAGGTGAGGAGTCCAAATTAAGGACGCTCGGACCCCTGTCAACCCCCCGGTTTTTTAACTACCGTGCGACTGTGTCTGCCCTAATATATGTTGGTTTGGCCCGTCCTGAGAACAATTTCGCCGTCACTATTAGAAAAGTATCTATATAGAATAAGAAAACCTTAGGGAATTGGTTAAAACAGTATATAAACAAGTGGAAAGTAGGAGAAAATATGAAATAGCCATAAGAAGATTAGTGATAATCAATTACGGACGAAAGTCGATGCTAGCAAAAAAATAAAATAAAATAAACTAGAAGTTATTATTATTGAACCAGTGCAATTAATATGTTATCTTCAAATTTCAGCAATTTACAACTGAACCATTTTTTCAGCAAATGGAAACCAACGTTCATAGTCAATAGTCTTTCAATAGTCTCAAGTAGGTACTGTCAAATTCTTTCAGTGAATTTATTACTACGCCTTTTCTTTCTTCTCTGTTTCCTTCTTCATACGTAAAAATTTACAAAAACGAAAACAGTATACCTACGTTTTGCATTTATCGACCAAAGGGCAATACTTACCCAGTAGCATTCCCGAATTCTTGATTTCATCCTGGCCGATCCAACCGTTGTCTTCCATAGTTCCGTGTCTTCGGCGGTGTCGTAATGAGGAGTTCGGATGGATATTAAAGGCAATAGAGGTGTTTGTGTGTGAGTATCTACTTCGCTGACTTCGTCACGGCGATATCGGCCTGAATTAAAGTTTGACTTCGGTTTTGAATCTTCCGCCCAAAAACACTTTGAACATTCCCACAAAATTTTAATTTATAACCGTGATAATGAAATACACTGGGAAACTTCGACGGCGGGAACAATGACTCGGGTGCGTGTCACTACAACAAATGTCGACTGGCGGAGTCGCGTAGTTGGCCGCCGGTGATTTATCGGTTGTACCGAAACAATAATATTGTGTTTCGTCATCGTGATCTTTGGAATCGACCTCAGCAATTAGCGCCCGAAGAATTTAATCTCAACGACAGAATATGTTAGTAATAGGTACAGTAAAAACAAAGCGTTGAAAATGAGACTGATTACCAATTGGATATTTTTACTGTTTGTATAAATATTATGTCGTCTTGTTTGTGCAACGAAACGAGCTGACAATGTGGGAAACGGCCGTTTAAAATAACATCGTAATTACGTGTTCGAATCAAAAACCGTTTAATTAGGTACGTATAGTTCACAACGGTCGTTGGAACAATTTTTAATACAATATTGCAGGTATGACTCAAATTCCATCTATTTCTAGAATATTATTATTGATACATACAATCGTTATGTATACGAATAAATGACCCGAACGTTATTATTTATTAATATCAATTATTGACAATAACTCGAAGGGTTTAACTATTTATTTATTTTCTTTTATTTTTTTTTTTTGTTCAATTACTAAAACTTTTCGCTTCGATGGGTCAAGTGAAATAATCACTAATCGCTATAAGATTTGTCGTAATTTTAATTAATTATTAAAAATCTTTTTCTCGAAACGTCGTACAGAATATTTCTGAATCATACTTAAATACGAGTATGCTGACTGAGCAGTGACCTTGAGAACGTCTAAAGAGGCGACGGAAGAAATGGATGGGATGACACTGAAGAAACTTAATAATTTAATTATGCATAGTATAGAAAACAAATTAATACCATACCACGATCAATGAGTAATAAATGTTAATTAAAATTTATGTTTCAAACATAAAACTATTATAACAAAAATATCAACAAAATTTTGATATTAATATAATTTGTGTTGTTTGATTCTGCCAGAAATCTTGCTCTGATCATTAAATTCAGAATTTCTTCTAAAAGCGAATTTCATATAGTATATAAAGTGGTATTTTTTTTTGATTTTATAAGTTATTTTTTTAATAAATGGGGTAAAATGCCAGAAAACGGAGAAATGTATGCAATTACACTTTGGTTATTTTCGATTTTAATTTTTTGTAATTCAGTTAAAAATAATAAAAAGACTAGACATTTTCACAAAATACTTACTTATATGAGTCGTTTCTAGATGAAATACAATTTTTAAAAAATTCTAGTGATTTTTTTATAGCTAACTATCGCCATTTCAAAACATGTTCATCTGAAAATTTCACTCTGAACCGTATTTCGTTAGCAATGATTTAACGTTGTGTACAGATATAAAATTATAGCACTCTTTGAATCCTGCTTTCCCAATTTCTTACTCATAACAGTGGCACGCCTATCAATAATATAAGTTCTTTTGGAGCTTATGGTTTTAAAAAGATGTTTATTTTTTTTTTTATCTGTGCGCAACTTTTCTACCAGCAATTTTGCTCCAAGATTTTCTTGGATTTATCTATAAATTTATCTATGAATTTCTGTTCTATATTGATTTTTCTTTTATTTATCATGACCGACATCCTAACCTAATGGTGATTATGGATTTTCTAATTGATTTTTGTTCGTGTACCTACTATGAACACTTATTTTTGATATTGTTATTTTTTCCTGTTTTTTGTTATTTATTTATTCATTATCATTATTAAACGAGATTCAGTAATTCTCCAGTATTGCCGATACCGTTAACAAAAAAAAATATATATATATATATATATGTAAAAAAATAACCATTAGTTACCTTTGTCTATTTGATTATTGATTGAAGTTTTTGGCGTTCCTTTTAACACTCTTATCGACTCCTGTAAATCGGAGCAACATTTCTGGTAGAAAAAATGTTCCCAGGAAAAAAAAAAAAAGCCTTAATATTTTTAACTAATGCCTACATTCCATACATTTTTCCGTGTAATAATAACGCGTTTTATCTGTAAAGCCAAATTTAAAGGTCTTTTCGTTCGTTTTACTGGAACGTATGTATATTTCGTTCGGCCATCAAAAAGACAAATACGGCAAATTATGTCATTGTTTGTGACTATGTCACAATAAAATATACACACATACATATATACTCTAGTCACGCGGTCTCCGCCGCAAGATTATCGATTTAATTATGTCTCTTGTTAACACAAAACAAATACTAATAGGCAGTCAAATATTTATTTAACGTTTTTTTTTTTTTTTTTTTTTTTTTTTTTTTGTGTGTGTATGTTAACGGATTTTCGGCAATTATTCAACGGAATTCATGGTTACTGCGTCCTGTAGTGTATATAGTTCGTAAATTGATTCGTGTATATAATAATAATATTGTTCTGTAAATTTACGAGCATTGTCAACGTATAAAGTCCGAAGATAAAACAAAAATAAATAAAACAATCATCGCAACGTAATTTACGAAGACCGTGAATTTTTCTTTTTTTTTTTTTGCTTTATCGATTGTGAAAAACTGTAGCAAAATATTATGGCGTAGCGCGTTCATTGTGTGAATAGAATTAATTGCGTTAGACTGTGAAAAAAGAATAAAAAAAAAAAATCAATCGTGTTTCGAAACGTCTAGTGCACAATAGTGTTGGGTGCGATAACGTCGACCGAAAAACCGACTTATCGAGCAAATATTTAAAGTTCTATTACAATATCGTAATATTATTATATAAGTAATCACGCGAACAAATGTTTAAATCGTATTGCGTCTCGGTTTGGTAATATTGTAACGAACAAGAGGTTATGAGGTTAGGTACATTTTCCAAACTTGTCACGCAAGTTCAAGCTAATTGCATATTAACTATTTACACGAGGGGGCCTGTAGAAAAATTTCTCTGCATCCCCTCTCACGTTATTTTCAATTTTGAACATTTTCGGATGTCACGCTAATTCACGTTCAATATTTAGTTCAAACAATTTTCAGAATCCGGAACGGGAGGGTTTGGGATTCAGAAAATGTACGTCTTTTTCTCGATTCCTCACTTACAACGGCGGCACGTCGGTCAGCAGTATCGACTCCTTTTTAATCGTATTTTATTTTATTTAGTGTTTGGCGTCGAAAATCCACCGGGAAATATGTTCCGAAACTCATTCATCATCATAAATAATAATATTGTCTCGTGTAAACTCGAATTTGGCAGGAATTTTAATTTTTTTTTATTATATTTATATATCGATTTTAGTCACAAAATTATACAATATTTTAAAGTTACGGCGGTGGTCCCGTGGCTCATAACGACGATTATAAATTAGCGGCAGGACGTCATGATGAGACACGAACGACGTGTAAAAATATTTACGCGGCGATTCGTTTGAAACCATACAGCCGAAGAACCAGGTATTTTCATATTAAGGTAAAGTTAGAGTTTTAAAATCGTATAATTTGTATTTGTATTTTTTTTTTTTGAACGGACGGACGGACGCGTGTAATTCGGAAATATTATTAAATCGCGACGACCAGTGGGGTGCCCGGGAATTTGCATTGGAAGAAGACGCAGTGAACGTAACGATAATCGCACGTGAATAAATCGTTTAGTTTTCTTCCGTCATCATCCAACGGTTAACCCGACAACGAGAATTTAAAAACAGAGGAGAAAAAAAAAACAACAACAATTTTTATTCGACGGTCATTTGACCGGTAATTTGATTAAAATTTACAATTTTATAACAAAATGATAAATAAACGTTTATAATAATTGTTGTATTCTTAAGCCGACGGGGTGGACGATATAACCGCCAACCTATCGTCCACTCGCGTCCGTCACCGATTACGGCTGGTGCGGTGTACGCGGATAGCCGTCGAAATCGGTAATTAACGAGCTGCGGTCTTGTAAAAAAAAAATTGCGTCAATTATTTTATATTCGAAACGCGCGTATTCGAATAAACGAGTGATAAGTTCTTGCTTTTGAGCGTAACGATAAGAATCAAATGATTTTACTCCGATTTCGGGGGTGGCTTCAAATTTTGTCTAGTTTGATCATCTTGACCATTTTTCGATTTTCCTTGTATTTTCTCGGTAATTGTGGGGAGAGGGGAAACGGTAAAATTCACGTGATAACGGATTTTGTTATTTTATATTTAGGTTTGTGGTTATTGTAATTATTCATTAAGAAAAATTTGCAAAAACCTGAAATTTGCACCGTCATGCGCATTAACACTTTCTTGAAATTTTCGAAATCATTCGGGTCATTTAAGGGCTTCTGCTTACAAGCAAAAGGTATTAAATAATTTAAAATACCGAAATAAACCTACGTGTTTTGGTTTGTAGGCTATAGCTAAAAATTACATGCTGAAAAAAAAATTCGAGTATTTCGCGCACGTTTGTTAGGGTTTCGTATAGTACTGCCGGACGACGGTATCGACACGGTCTCGGTACAACTCGTCGAATAGTTTCTCGTCCAATTATTATAATCTAGGGCTCTAAATTTCGTAATCGTCCAAAAGACATTTTTTTCTCTCTGTAATAATATATTATTACACGCGCGACACGGCGACAAAAAGGTTTTTCGCGTCGACCTTGAACGGATGTTAATAAATGAAAACATGAGTGTTATTTCTGTAACGTCGTCGACGTAAATAGCCGGGAATCTAAAATATTATACCCGTAGCGATAATATATTCAAATAATAATATCATGGAAGGTTTCATACACGTTTCGCGTGCCAGCTATTATAAATTACTGCTGCGATCGAATATTATTATTATTATTGTTGAAATCGACAATGTCGGCTACCGAGTCGCTGTTGCAGCACCATCTACAGTAACACGGCTCGTTATTATTTTTTTTTTTTACTTTTTAACCGCGCAACATTAACGACGCGGAAAAAATATCCGTAAAAAACCATTTGCCGTCGCTTTCCCGAATCCCATTCGTTCCCTACTACCGGGCTGGGCCGTCCGTCCGACTATTATTACAATAGCGTTTAGATTAGGCGGTATCAGGCTAATTGTTCTGAATTGAGCACGTTCTACCGCATG